AAGTCTGCTTTGTGCCTAATGTTTGTCAAGGGTGAGTTTAATATTGAGTACAACCCAACCATCGAAGACTCGTATTCAAGTGAAGTGACGGTCGATGGGAAACTCATTAAAATGAGTATAGTTTGTTATAGATTACAATAGTTAGTATTACTTGTATTAATCAACAGGTCGACACTGCTGGACAAGAAGAATACAGTTTGTTATAACAAATCGATTCTAATAATTACAGGTGGAAAATAAACCACTTGGTATTCAATATGAACTATTTGATTGTATTTAAAAAGTAATAACTCATTAATACGTCGTTTGGAAAACATTTGTAACTTGTAGTTTCACTCCGTGAACAGTACTATATCAAGGGTGATGGGTTCGTTATGGTCTACTCAATCGATAACAAGAATTCATTCCACGCTTTGAAGAACCACAGAGACAGCATCTTGGGTCTCAGAACTGGTAAAAAGACCGCTATGGTCATCGCTGGAAACAAATGCGATTTGGAAGAGCAACGTGCAATTTCAACAGAAGAAATTAAGAAGCTCTCTGACGAGTGGGCAATCCCATTCTTCGAAACGTCTGCGCAAAACAACACCAACGTTAAGCAACTCTTCGAAACTATTGCTAAAGAGCTCTTGAAGTGCAACCAGACAGCAGAAACCGCAGCACCCGTAGCAGCTGCCGCCGCACAACCAACTGCCCAGGCTGCAGCCCCGCCAAAAAAGGAAAAGAAAGGGAAGTGCACTCTCTTCTAAATAATAAAGTGTTGATTTTGTTGGTTCAGTTCAATCAAAAACAATTAATTAATTTAGTAATAATCGTCATCATCAACAAAGAAGTAGTGGTGCACGATAAGTACAACCAAACCCGCAAGAACAATGCACATCACCGTGATGACAAGAAGGATTGTTGGATTTCTGTTATACAACGACTCGCACCAGCTTACTGATTTCGCCTCCACAACAACAAGCTTCCGCTTTGCCTTGTTCTCCCTTGTTTTAGATTTCTTTTCAGATCTCTCTGTTTTGGGGATTTTGTAAAAATTTTCTATTGCATTCACAGGTGTTCCTTTTTCGACTTCACTCTCGATGGGGCGTGTCGAGTTTTGAATAGCGCGAGACTTATCAACCAGGTTTTGGGTGTTTTGTTCTTTAAAATCGTTCGAAGAAATCGTGGCGTCATTGATTTCTTCGATTGGATCTTTGTCGATGATAACCATTTTTACTGGCGCGGGAGAACGAAAGGGTTGTGTTGGGACATCTTCCTCGGTCTCTTTCTTCATCAACACGTGCCGAGCACCAACTCTCACACTTTCAGTTTTCCACTGTCTCGACTGCTTTTCGAAAATGGGAGTTGTTTGTCTGTCCGGACCGACAACTCTTAGCGCCCCAGGTGTCGGTCTAACAGCCTCGACTTTATAACCCCTTTTAACGCTTTTTGTTTTCTTATCAGTCTTTTGTGTTGAAACAACCTCATTCCATTCTTCTTCACTACTTTTATCATTGCAACTCTCAATTTTTTCCGCGCACATATTTACCATCGTTCCGGCTGTGTTGTCATCCACTCCAATCTCTCGATTTTCGTTTCGCCATTTTTCCAAATCTTGTGGATTAATATTATTTTGTATACTCTCTGAGCTTAGAGAGTTTGGACTTTTTTCGTCTTCAACCGACTCCGAAAACTCATCTCCTGAAACATCTGATGAAATTCCCACAACCTCAGAAACGTACGCCTGTTCGCTCATTTCTTCGCTTTTTTCATCTCTTTTCTTTTTTGGTACGAACGGATTTGCAGCCAAATTGAGGGAAATTGGCAGTGCGACTGACTTTCGTCGTTTTTTTTCGTCTTTTTTTGAGATTTTTTCTTTAGCTTTGAGTTTTCCTTCTTTCTTGCCAATCTCCTTATGTTTTGACTTTTGTCCGATAATCCCTGTGAAATTGAGAAGCCACAAGTAACTTTCGTTTTTGCGAATAAAGTCGTTCACAAAGAGTTTTTGGTCTCCTTTCAATTCGTCGAAACAATCTCCCCAAAACGATCCATTTGATTTTTGGCAATCGAAAATTTCAATGAGTGGTTTCGGTTCTATTGAATCACGAAAAATCGAAAACGGCGTTTTGTTTTCGGTTTCGGGTTTGAACAAAACGGAAACATGCGAGTAAAAATGGGCAGCTTGAAGACTCCCTGACTTTTTGATGAGGTAATTGAACTCAGTCAATAACGAAGCTTGTTCGGCGCCCTCTAAACTCGAAACCCATAAAGACACTTTGTACTGTGGATCATTGCAAAGCACTGTGATACCCTCCTTTCAGTTATTCTCAGTTTTGAATCTTGAAATGCACAATACGTCAAAGTATCAAAAGACAATGTGAGATTGTTCTTTTTGGAAAGAAAGTAACATTTAAGGGGGAAAAAATGAGGAAAAAAGACACAAAGTCTTATAAAAAACAAACAACAAGAAAGGAATGGAGCATTCGCCGACAAACAATGGCATCTATAACAAGATGAAAAAGCGTGGGGATGTAGGCGGGCTCCACGTCCACTGTGAACTTCCCGCCTTCGATGTTTTCGTCGTAAAATGTGTGTGTCACCCCTTTCACGAAAATTTGGAAGAAAATTGGAGACGTCCAGTCGACGGTTCTTGTCCGCCATAAATCGCAAAAGTTGGTAATGCCCATGAACGAACCCCAAAGCGCTCCAAAGGGACAGTACTCCGACGTTGTTTTACGTATCTCAGTGTTTGTGTATATGTTCCATTCTTTGCGAAAGTAGCTCCACACCTCGAGTTTGTGCGGCAGCGTGCACATTACAGGAGGGATGTTGTTATTAAATTTTATGGTGTGCTTTGTCTCCACGGGCTTTCCCTCCATTGTTTTGTTTTGTGCTCATTTTTTCAGTTCAGGATAACATGTCAAGTGAATGTGTTTTATTATTCTTTTTAAAAGTAGAACCGTCCATTATTTGAGGATTTTCCAGATGGATTTGTTTATACTAATAACCCGAGTAACTCATCAATACCGGCCTCTTTTTTTCATACTTTTACACCGAATTTCTTCGTTAAACAATTCTTTTGTCTTTGAATTTTATGTACTATATAATATAACTTAAATACTAGTCGAAGTATCATCACAAGATTATGCCAATTTATATTGTTAGAAGTAATGTAATAGAATTAATAAACGAATTTACAATAGTTCGTTTTTTATTATTCAATACTTTCTATTCATATAAATAGATTAAAACACTTCTTTCCATACGTCTCAAAAAACCTTCGTTTTTGACAATGAAAAAATAATGGTAATCATTTTAAAAAAAAATAACTGATGTGGTGTTTTATAAATTCAAAAAGCAAATTGCAAATTATTGTAATTGATAAAATAATCTTTTGTTTATTGCTTAATTTTTTATTTTATGGCAATTTTATTTTGGAAGAAAAAAATGTAATAACAAAATAAAAAAAATAATTAATTCAAATGTTATTAAATTTAACAACAAAAAATAATTTCAAAAGCAAAAATGAGGCAGTTCAACATAAAAATACATGTTTTTTTATTGTGGCAAAATAGACTCAGTGGTAAAAAAACATTAATTAAAACAATAATAAAAATCTTTTATTAATAATTTATTGATATAAGCAAATGTATTACTGTCTTATAATTATCATTTATCTTTATATGTTATACATTAAATAATACACCCAGATTTAATAATTAAAATTAAAATATTGTTTATCATTTTGTGCTTTAATTTGAACCAAACTAAAATAATAAATTTTTTTACCAACTTATATTGTATTCGTTGCAATAAAAAATTACTTTATATTTTCACCATAAACGATAATGCTGTTGTAAATTTCAAATGTTTCGATTGTGGCAAGTCTTGTTATATCCAGTTCACTGTTTTCAAATGACAAATTAACACCAATTCAAAGAGTTAATTTTATCTAAGTGGTTAGTTGTGTGTCGATTAATTATGGTAATGTTAGCATAATTCACACAAATCGCTGATGGGCACCATGTAAATTTTTCATGTTCCATTAATTATAAAATAATCAATAAGAGTAAAATAATTAAATTTGTTGAATTAAATGATGATGCAATTAAACAATTAAAATGATGATTATGTCGAAGTAATTTACAATTTTTATATTTTTTTGTGTTGGTGAAATAATGAAAATTGTGTCATTTATAATATTATTATATTTTTAAAAAACCACTAAGTATAAAATATTACAATTTTTAATTTTATTTTTGTTTTTTTAATATTTTTGTTTATAATGACAGTAACGACTGTATGGTAAATATTCAAACACATAAACAAAAAAGATCACAACACTCAATTATAAACACAAATGTTTTATTATGTTTCATTTAAATTATTTTTAATTATTTTTGTCCAAAAAAAGAATACAATTTGTTTAACTGGCTGATTTTTTCTTTTTGTTAAAAAATAATTAGATTCGGACCTAACCCCGGGTAAATTGAGACGTATGCTTCTTTCAAAATTCCATTCAATTGTTGACTCGTTAAATTTAGGTTCAAAAATTAACAATCACTCGTTAATTAAATTAATGAGAATTAATAATATTTTTATTAATATTTAATACCAATTTACCCAATTACTTAATTTATTATTAACTTACTATTATGAACTAAAACAATACTACAAAAGAGTATTATTAATTGTTCATGGCTGTTCAAATTATTCCACCACTTATATCGGCCATCGGTAAAATCGGCGCTGTTTTGGTCGCCTCCGGGTTAGGGAAGTTTGTTGCGGACGCTTGGAGTAAAAAGTCGACCAAATCAACTCAAACGGAATACACAAGAGAAGAGATCGAAGCATTGAAAAGGGAAAACGAAGAACTTCGGACTGAGCTCCAAACACAGAAGTGGCGTGCGTTTTTTAAATCGTTGAAAGGGAAACCTGATGCAGAAGTGATAGGGCAAATGGTCAGGGAACAGACAGACGGACTTCGAAAAGAACTGTATGAGTATAAAAGTTTCACAAGCCAACGCATCGACTCTTTGGTCCAACAAATTAACACACAGACAACGCATTATAAGACCAAAGGAAGTAACACGCTCTTTTGGATGTCCATTGTGGCAATTGTTGTCTGTCTTATTATGACAACAATTGCCGTCGTCACACTTTTCAAAATGAATGTGAAGTAGATCGGATTTGGTTGAAAGTTTTAAGTTCAGAGTCGTTAATTTAAAAATAGTTTATTTTATTAAAACATATAGTTGTTTTTTTGTATTAAAATATATAGTAAAATTATAATTTAATGGTCATTAGTAATTAATTTTCTCAAGTATAAAACAATCAATTCAATTTAATTTCATTATAATTTAATAATACCTATTACTAATTTTAATAAGTGTTTTAACATGAACTCGAAACGAAATTCTTTTTTCAACACACATATTTATAGAACACCCAAAATGGGATTTGTTACTTAAAAAAACAACACAGAAATTGATTTTTCAACAAGTTTGTTTGTTATTTCTTTGAAACATTTTTCTTTTTGCAAATGATTTTGAAAATACAACAAACGACGAACATTTTTGTAAAAATCCAAAAACGGAAAAAAAGCGTTTTTTTGACGTTTTTTTTAAAAGAAATGTATTTATAGATGTTCTTAAAATATATCCTCCAATCCAAAAACGTCCGTTATCACGCAGCAAGACAAATACCATTTTTCTAGTAGTTGAAGCTAACAATTTGGCACGAGTTTTGTATTGATATGTTTTGTCAAAAGTGGCAAGAGCCTCGAACAAATAGCGAAATAAGACTGAAAGAACAAGAAGAATAACATTATAATAATACACTAGATTACATATAGATTACAACGTAGACGGGTGTGGGTAGAGTGCAGTCTCATTACCAGAAAGCCAAGCGGAGACGCGGTTCGTCTTTTCCTGTTGACTGAGTTGCATGATTTTACATGCTTTAACGTTTTTCTGAGTGAGTTTGAGAATGCAAGGTTGTTCTTCGATATATGAATTTGTATAGTACATATCACACGCAAGTTTTGGTTGCGAGTATTCGACCTCTTCATAATATTGAGATGTTTCTGGAATCGAACGTGGGACGTATTCGAATTGAGTTGGCATGAAATTGAAGTGGTTGTAAGTGAAGTATTGTCTTTGTACAGTCTGCATTATCCTTTGTATTTTCTGAGTTTCTAAAATGTTTTTATATAAGCCATTTCCTATTTTTTGCCCTTTTCCCACCACCCGTTTTGTGTTTTCTTTCCTTTTCTTCCGATGTAATTGATTTCCCACGGCTTAACTTCTGCCATAGGCTCGTTCTATTCTTACAGTTTACTATATCTATAGTACAGTTTACTATTATTTATGAGTCGTGCAAATGCATACCATTTGTGTGGACAAAAGAGGGTGTGGCAACATGTTGAGTTGAATGGGATTTACGTTTTGAATGTGTTTGTGGACTTTTCCTTCTATTAGCGTGTTTTTGGCTAAGAAATAGGGAAGACGAGATTAATCACCACTTTTCGATTTTGCCTTTCTGGACTGTTTCGTTTTCAATTCGCTAGTTGTTTTTTTTTGTATTTTTGCAAAGATTCGCTCTATTTCCGCTCATTGCTGTGTTTCCACCTTTTCTTTTGAAACTTATTTTTAGTTGGTTTACTAGACACAACTGACTTCTAAATTTGTGCTTTTTTTGAAAATACAAAGCGACAATTGTTTTTTCCTTCTTTGATTGTCGATATGTTGAAAAGGATCCATTGGTGGTTGTTTTTACTATATATTAACTATATGCTTGTTACTTTGAAATAGAAGTCCTTGTCATCACAACCCTCCTTCACAAACAAAACGCATTTTTCTTTTTTTTTCAAGTCCTAACTCCAGCCAATTGTCGGGGCTTTCTCCCTATATAGATTGGGTACTATATTAATACTATAATTAAACTTCAGTTGTAGTTAAGATGAAAAAATCAGAAGAGGAATGAAAAAATGACGAGATAACTTGAAACGTTCAATCGGGCATAATTCGGGCTTTTTGATTCTGGAAAGATGAGGAAGATACTTTTCTTTGCATTTTTACTTTTGTATTTTTCAAGTTAAACTTATGGCTTTCGGCAAAGAGAGATTATTTGTCAAAAACTAATGCAGTTAAAGAACCGGTATTTCATCATTCAACACAATTAATAAATCAATGATTTGTTATAGTTAATTATTTGGTTATTCACTATTCCAAATAATAAACACATCCACATTATCATATATACATTGAATAACAATTTAATTATAAAATATAGTATATATTTGTGTCTAACGACAAGTTTACTCCAATAAATAAATTGTGGTATTTTGCCAGTTTAAAAAAAAGACAAAACAAAACATAAAAATTCCGCTTCTGTATTTTTAGTTTTGGAACTCGAAATGTTTTTGGTTCTGTTAGTAAAAAAGAGACATATTAAACCATACTTTTATTAGTCAAGAAACTTGTTACTTTCTTATTTCTTCCCAAAAAAACTGAAATAACTGTAAATCTTTTTTTA